CCCTCTTACTTCTCACTTCAGCCCCTCAGGCACTTGAACTTATGCTCCCTGCCCCCACTAGGGCTCTCAAGGGACTTGGGGATGCCCAAAAGCAATCGCATGAGGTTGAAAAGAAAAAAGGCCAATAGGAAACAGACTGGCTATTTTATCCACTCAGACTTTGGAGACATCTAGACAGCTGCTTCATGTCGCCTCAGTCTCTTACCTAAAATGTAGTCCTGTGTCCATACGACAGAGCAAAAGATCTTAAAAATCTCCACGAATACTGGTAAAAGGATTTAACCCTCGTATTGAGTGGTTAACCTTGGCTTGTTCTATCTGTCAGAAACACAATTTAGATAAATAGAGAGTGTAAATACACCAGTGAGGTTTTTTTTTTTTTTTTTTTTTTGGCAGTATGCGGGCCTCTCACTGTTGTGGCCTCTCCCGTTGCGGAGCACAGACTCCAGACGCGCAGGCTCAGCGGCCATGGCTCACGGGCCCAGCCGCTCCGCGGCATGTGGGATCTTCCCAGACCGGAGCATGAACCCGTGTCCCCCGCATCGGCAGGCGGACTCTCAACCACTGCGCCACCAGGGAAGCCCCAGTGAGCTTTTGTATTACTGGGTGTACCTGGCTCATGGCTCAAATTTTAGATGGAAAAAAGATATAAGATCTTTTTGCACCTGTATGTTTATGTATGTGTGTAAATATGTTATGCATCTGTGACATTTTCCTACCTCTGGGTGGTATTACCAAATTTATAAAGTCCTGTAGAGGAGCTCTGTTTAAATCAGCTTAGAGGTAAATGAGTGTTTATGTAAATTAAATATTACCAACACTTCCAGAAATATAGGAACTAACCCAAATGCTTTTCAAGTTTTTGTGATTTGAGCAAATCTTTGAAGACTATTTTAATGCTGTTGACTGAATAAAAACAGCTATGACTTCTGATGATCAGCACTGACTACAGTATGAGCGTACATTTTTATTCTACTTGGGTTTACTGGTCAAACAGGGTAATATGATATCTACTAGATGTTTAAGATTATAAAAATTGTAAATTCAATCTAAAAACAAATGTACAAGTAAAGATGGAATAAAAATGAATTGTTTGATAGCCATTGCTTTATGTAAATCAAGTACAACAGTAAAACAAACAAAAAACTCCCAAGCATTTAACTTATTTTTTTCAGTTTTTTTTGTGTTGTTGTTGTTTGTTTTTTCCTGACACTTGCCTAACATGCGTGTGCTGTAAAAAGAGTTAACAGGGAAATAACTGGAGATGATGGCCAGCTTTGTGTAATGGTTTAATATGTCTGCCTAAAAATCGTTTCCAGAATCTTTTTTGGTAAATTACAACCTTAGAGTTATGCTAAGTTAAATAACAGATATTCATTAAACATCTCAACCATTTCTAAGTAACATAAATTGCTGAAATATTCATTACTGAACTTACATTTAAGTTTATATGCTTTTGGCTTTTAAATTTTGTTTGGTATAGAGAAGCTAAATATATTTGAGTCTGTCAACATGTTCCTTTTACCATATAGAAAAATATGAGGAAGCATGGACCTATAAAACTGTGAGATGGTATATTAAAAAAAATTGCGAGTCTATCACAGAATGCTGGTGTGTGACAGGCAGTTCACAGCTGTCTGCGTCCTAGACTTTTTTCTATAAAAGAAGGGTTACTAATGGTTAAAATAGTATAATCAGTGTATGAAAATAAAACTACCACAAATTATAAGGGGAACAACTTTTTAGGCAAAGTATACAAAAAAGTAGGATGTGTTTTTCATAAGGAAACTTTTGCAAGGTATGAGGCATGTGTTTTCATTAAGGGAAAAATAGAATAATTTTGTCCTGAAGTGAAGTGACTGGTTGTCCCTGAGTGAGAAAGAAGAGAATAAGGGAAAAAAACCTGAATGGATATAGAAAGTTGTAGGAGGTTTAGAGGAAAAGTAATTTCATGTGTGGTTAAGCTGGCTGAGATTGAATGGATTTATTCATAAGGTTTTAAAAAAATGAGCTCAAAAATATAAGGATGCAAAACTAGAATCTGTTTTTCTTTCTATTAATATAACAGAGTTTTCTTGGTTTGTTGGTCTGTTCTTAATAGATCCTAAAAGATTTTTCTTTACTTTTTAAGTCATCCACCTAGGAAACAAAGATTCTCTGTCTTATCAGCATAATTTCCTGTGCCTTATGTTAACCTTATTCTTGATTATTTAAGAGAAGCAAGTCTTATCACTTTTAAAAGAGCTAAGGTTTTTTTGTTTGTTTGTTTGTTTTACAGTTTTGACAATTTTGCCTTCCCCAAATCAAATTCTAAATGAAATCTTCTTGACTCCAAACTGACTTTGAGATTTCCTAGAGGGCCCCTGGAAAGTCTCAGAGGATTTGTTCTCTCACCTTGTAAAAAGAGAGATGTTAAACTAATTTAGTTTATTTGATAGGTTGGATTATATGGAAAGGCATTGTCAAATAAGAGATGTTAACTTAGGTTATATTTGTATGGGTTAATATAAATGTAAGTATTTCAGAAATTGTATTAATTTCCTAGAAATTGGTCAGTACTCTCTGTCCATGAAATGTCCAATGTAGTGTTATCAGTCATAATTCTAATAATTATTTTAAAATGTTGAGTGTCATAGAAACAACCAAACATTCTTATTAAATTAACTCTTATCATATCTTACCCATGCCGTTTTAAGTCTTGCATCACCCACAGATAGTTTTTGTTTTGCTCTGGTTCTTCCGGGGAAGCATTTGCAATTGTCTACAGGCCAGAGTGCTTTGTCTTCTCAGAGTCCCTTGGAAAAGACTATGACAGGAACTCTGGGCTACAGGATTCTGATGGCTTTGCTTCTGTAACTTTGAAACCATACCACTGGACTGAGTCAGGATTTCTAGAACTCTAACAGAGAAACTGACAGGTTCATTAAACCGTTCACCCAAGATCAAGCAGAACAAGAATTAATTACATGGGACTGAATGTATTGATAAAGAATGATTGTGGTTTTGGTTTGGGACATTGCTAGATTTTTAATGTTCTATATTCTGGATATAAGGAACCCCTTTCTCTTAGATTATCTATACTTTTAACAATTAGGAGATGATACTTTTGTAAACAAAAATGAAACATTTATCTTTCCTCCCTCCCTGATTCCTTCAGAATTTGCATTAATTTAATGTTTGCAGAAAGTTATCCTCATTATATTTCATTAAATAGAATAGGCAGGGTCATGTCTGGTTTTTATTTGACTACTATATTCAAAATATAAAGTCATGAGATACATCATAAACAGAAAATATATGGTTAAGTCAGGAGATAGCAAAGGGAATCTAAACATTCCCCATATCAATAAAACACCTGCCTACCTGGTTCAGTTACCGTTTCCCTCCTACTTGGTGGGGAGGCTCATGGGACCTGACTTGTAAGAAACCCATTGTGGCAGCTCTTCCTCAGTTTTTAGGAATTCTTTATAGAGAGGCAACTCTCTAGCGTGATCATCTGTTTCTGGAATCTTCTGTGTTCATTACATTGTGCTGTGCCTATGTGCCTTTCATCTGTTCCTGTTAAGTTGTCACCGGTTGGTTTCAACTTTTTTGGGGGGGTGGAGTTTGATTAAACTGTTGGGTTATTCCTAAATTCTTGCTTTCTGATCTTCATTGACTCCATTCTCTGCAACCATGGCCAGTGCCCCTGTGACATGCTTAACTGGACTCCCTCCTAAATCTAGCATCTCTTGCTCTTTTCTGTTTGCGAAAGGAATTGAGAGAGTTGAAACCCATTCTCCCTAAGCACCAACTAAGAGCAGGACAGTGTGCCACGTATTTTACATAAAAACAACAACAGTAATATAAGCAACGTATATAGTATGCTAATATTGTTAATTATAATATCATTTATTACATGCCAGTCAGTAGGCTGAACATTTTATATGGTGGACCTTCAGACAGGTAGTCAAATCCTGCAGCAACCCTATTCCCTGCCAAAATTTGACTTCTACCGTAAACGCCTGGGAATCTTAGAGGGTTTTAAGCAAAGGTGACATGAGTATTATTCAGCATGTAGTATTTTCTTGATGACTTTGGGACACATGTCACTGATTATTTTACAGTGCTCCAGGGGCTACTGGAGGTGAAGATTTGCCTTGAGTTATGTGGCACCAGACAGCCCTGCTCCCCTAGTTTCCAGATGTGCATTTTATTAGATCAGGTCTGAGGATGTGCCAGAAGGAAGGAGGAGCCACAGCTCTTAGTGAGTAGAGCAACCCCAGACCTGTTCTACCTTTCTGTTCTATTAACTGTGACCCAGAAATCCAGTTTAGCAGGCCCTCAATTAAATTCCATAGAAATAAACAGTTGTGAGTAGAATGAGAATAAACTCCGTTGAGGGAGAAGTCTAAAAACTTCTGCTAATCAAGTGTTAAATGCTTTACTTTTTTTTTCCCTTACAACAAATTTTGTTTTTATCATATCCTTGTTGTTCCTTATTTTCTGAATAACAGCACAACTCAAAAACATGAGCCTTAAATGGGAGGTGTTTTGGGCCATGAAAAATATTGAACAAATGCTAGGAGTCATTGTACTTTTCTTGTAAATTAAGCGGCTCAGTAGATGGGAAATTCAAAGAAAACAGCAATAGCATAGGGCATAAGTATAATTGTCTTCAGAGGTAGTCTTTCCTGTGGGTAATCTTTCTTCCTGCTATCTTTGTCCTGTTGGAACAGAACTTCAACTTGACTTCTGGAGCTTGTGAGCACATGATCCTGCATCCTACAGTTCAGGGCCCACCTGTCTGGGCAGATACAGGTCTAATGTAGATACCTTCATACACAAACAAGTCTTTTCTGGAGATGGACAGATACAAATCCCCAATCCCTCTCACAGAGGACTGGCTCTGATCAGCCCACCTCTACAGGAATGCTGCTTCTGCCCCAGGACAATATGGGGTAAGCCCCCACAGAGTAATCCTGTCTCAGTGCCTTTATCACTTAAAGCAACCTGTTGACTCAGAGTTCGGCAACACCAGAGGAGGATTCCCTACTGGCACAGATGTGCACCAGGGCAAGGAACCCTTTATAGACCTTGGAGGAAATCTTGTCACCCCCAATGATAACATGGTACTCTCTGATACTAGGTTTAAAAATGATCATCTCATTATTCTTGGCCTGCATCTGTAGAAGAGTCTAGAGGCATGGAGAGAGGTCAGGGCAAGCACAAAGGCACACAGTGAAGTTCTCCTGAGGTTTTTCCAGCTGTGTGATCAAGCTCACATGAGTGTTACTAGGCCATTTAGGAAAAATAAACACCTTCCTATTCATGTGTGTGAGAGAAAGAAGGAAATACAGCAATCTTCAACTAAAATGTCAACAGGAGAAATCATAAATTTAGTCTTGTATTCAGCAATCTCTAGTCTTTCCTTCTCATGGTCCCTCCCACCTTCCCTACCGCACAGACTCATATGCTCCGACCTTCCAACCTGTCTGAGCAAAGGCTTCTGGGAGATTGGTGAGAACAGAGACCCATAGCAGTGGCTACATATCCTTGGCCTGGGGCTGTTAGAGAAGCAGTGGTGACCAGAATAAATGTAGCACACAGCCTAGTGGTTGGTTATCTACAGAGCTTCTGACTCACTCATGTAGAGATTCTCATTCTTAGACCTCAGGCTATTCAGGGTTTATCTGCACCTCTGGGTGAGGATGGGGGATGGAGAGCACAAATAATGTGTGAGTGATTTTCCAGGCCTGCCCCCTGGTGCCAACAGTCAGAGCTACTGGTGGGGAAGGAAGGGCTGGAAAATCAGTGGGAGTTACTTATTAGATACAAGGCACTGCCAGAGCTCCACCCCACTCTGACCCAGATTCTGGTGCTGGGGAGAGAATAGTGTGGAGCTGCAGTGTTACAGATGAGATGAGGGGCCATGCCGGCCACCTCGGGAGGGCTTGACTCCACCCTCCAGGGGCCCCTCTGCTGATGGCTGTGTGCTCTGCTGGGAGCTCCTGAGCCACATGGGTGGGGGGGCGTGTCTCCCTGAACTTGGGCCTCTCATGGGCTGTGGGTGCAGGACCTTTCCTTCTTTTTGTTCTGTGAAGTAGTCTGTTTGTGGGACATTCTGGGATTCTGGTTTCTGCTGTAGACACTGAATCCATTCCTCCCCTACTAAATCAATATGATATGCCAGCACTTTGCTACAGAGATTCAGAGCAATGGAGGACACTGCCTCTGGTTTCTGAAGAATTGTCCTGACTCATCTTTCATCTGTCCCTTTTCCTTTCCCCTTTCTCATGACCCTTTCCCTCCCAGACCCTCATTCACTATCCTCAGAGATGTCAGAATCTGAGAGTTTTGTTTTCTTCTGCCTCCAGCCTCTCAAGGTGAGGTTCAATGTCTATCTGTGGCAATACTGCCTTCCATTCAGGTGTGCACTCACTACACACAATTTTTGTGAACATCTCTTGTGTGCCATGCAGTACTTAGGTTTTGCAGATAAGAGAGTGACTTTTTTGATGGGCTACATCTAGTGACCTCCATCTCTTTTGTAGTTGAACCATCATGTATTGGAGTTACAATAACTTAACCTTGCTCTCCTCTCCATATTTCAAACTGAAATTCCTTAAACACAGACATTATTCCATCTATTCCACTTTTAATCCCATTAAACTGCTCTACATCTTATTTTGGTTATTTTCCTCCTGCCCACTCCCCTTTTGTTTTGGTCAGCACTTCATCCTCTTTACTTCATCTTGCCTCCCAACCTCTGGGACTGATTGCCCTGACTTAGTAACCACCTTCCAGAAGCCTTTTTTCCTTCTGTTTGAATCCTCTGAGCTGGCCAGACCCTAACTGCCACTTCCTGGAAGCAGTCCTCCACATTGTCATTCCTCTGACAGCCTTGGTGAGGTTTAGAGTTGGAGTTGGGTTTAGGTTACCTTTTGCATCTTGAATGAAATGCAGGCTCATTATCCTGGGGTCTAGAACCATTCACAGTTCTTTCCCAATCTACTGGTCTTGTCTTACTTCTTCCACAAATCCCACTGTGCACTCAACCTCTTCTACTTGTGGATACATGCCCTGAGTCTCTCCTTTAAATCCTTTGATTCATTCTCTTCTCTGTAACCGAAGTAGCTTTCAGGCATATCTGTTTCTTAAAACCCCAGTTCTTAAAAGTCTACCTTATATGCCATTTGCTTCCTGAAGTCTCTCCTGATCTGATAAGATGGGATGTTTCCATCTTCTGAATGCCATAGTGATGAAGGGCAAAGATTTTGGACAAATTTGGATTCCAAATCCAGCTCACTTATTTTCTAAATTTGGAAACTTAAGCAGGCATTCAAACTTTTGACCCTGCAGCTCCTCTTTTGAGGACAGTAATATAACTGCCCTCCTTTGTGGGGTTTTAGTGGGTAGTAAATGCACACAGTGCTTTTTACAGAATAAGTTCTTGAAAAATCATTATTATGACATTTTCTGGTATTACAATATTGTCTCACAGTTATTTGTATATTACTCTGAACATCCTTAGAAAACCTTACAAAAGATTCTATTTTATCCTTCTTGTCTCTGGATCCCACCCATCATCTAGCACTTTGCCTCGTGTATGTTAGGGACTCATTAGATATTTCTTGAACTAAACAAGCAGTAATACAAATTTGTAGAATTAAAAAAAATAGTGAAGAGACAGTTAAGAGAAAAGAAGGGAAAATACTGAGTCAAGCACCTTGCTATGCTTATTCCCATGGACTAAAGATTCTTATCAGAGTTCATAGAACATAACAGATGCCTGATACTTACAATTTCTCATTGTAGATCAACAAATTACCAGTGTAGTTTGTGAAAAACACCCCAAACAAATAAGGTTCTTCCTTTTCCTCTCCTTAACTCTTTCCTTACTGAAAGATTTAGACTTAAATCCATTATATGGGACCCAGCAAAGAAGACATTCACACTCAGAGGAAGGAATTAGTGGGGAACACTGGTGACCAAGTGCAAATGTAGAGGGCCGAGGAGTGACCATTTGTATTGCAGGCAGCAGGAGCCAGCCCAGGGACTGGGAGCTGGAGCAGGGTGAGGAGAACATCTGTGCAGGTGAGGGACAATGGTAGGAAGGGAGGTTAGCTACGCACAAGGGAATTGGAAAATAAGAAAGTATATGAAGGATAATGGGCATCTGATTTCTTACTGTTGGAAAAGAATTGCCAATGCGAAAATGTGGAAAACCTGAATATATCCTGTAGTGTTAGATGGAAATTAGAGGTATTGCTGTGAGCTCATGGTTTTCAGTGTGAGTGTGTGTGTGTGTGTGTGCACGTGTGTGTCCCCAAAGCTGTTTCCAATGCAAGTGCCTGGAAGCAGATCCAGATCTTGTGTTCTACATACTGTATATCAGTAAAAAGAACCAGGGATGCTTGAGGAAATAGCTAATTCCGTGTCTGAGGCAGGGAAGGTACAAGAGAGAGCCTAGACTATTTTTTATTTTTTTTGCCAGAAAGGAAGGAAATCATCAAATTATAATGTCGACCTGTCAAAAGGACATCAAAGCCAGCTTGAAGGGGATCCCACTGGAAATAATTTAATAATCAATATAAACTGAAAGTAATTATAACCCATTGAATAAAACAGTAAGCAATGAAACTAAAATGATATAGATGAATAATTAAGTTTGATAAAAAACAGGATATTTATATAGTTTCAAATTACCTCCCTGAAAAATATTAATTTAAAAGAGAAAGAGTAACTTCAAAGTAGAGAATCTTGACTTCTACCACCTTAAGCAATCCAACTGTACACCATTAGAAGTGGGATAATTCAGAACCATGTGTCTCTTGATAGCGTGCAGTGAAAGAACACAGCATCACTTCTGTCCTGCCAAAGATCCATAACCTGAGTCTAATCATGAGAAGGCATTAGACAAACTAAACTTTAGGGACTTTTGTTTTTCTCTTTCTTTTTTTTTAACATCTTTATTGGAGTATAATTGCTTTACAATGTTGTGTTAGTTTCTGTTTTATAACAAAGTGAATCACCTATACATATACATATATCCCCATACCTCCTCCCTCTTGCGTCTCCCTCCCACCCTCCCTATCCCACCCCTCTAGATGGGTCACAGATCACTGAGCTGATCTCCCTGTTCTATGTGCCTGCTAAATTTAGGGACTTTTAACAAAATACCTGACCTGTAATCTTTAGAAATATCCAGGTTATGAAAGACAAGGAATGACTGAGAAACTTTCCTGGATTAAAAGTTAATAAAGCATGCCAATAAATGCAAACCTTGAGTCTGAGCTGGATGTATGGTTGGGACACCTGGCAAAACACTGAATGAGATCTGAGGATTGGATGATGGTGATGAGTCAATGTTACTTTCCTGATTGGGATGATTTCTTTGTAGTATGTAGGTGAATGTCTTTGTTTGTAGGGAATACTACAGTATTTGAAGGTGATGAGCCCTGTCTCAACAACTTTAAAGGTTCAAGAAAAAAATGTTCTTTATATTGCACCTTCAAGTTTTCTGTAAGTTTGAGGGGAAAAAAAAGGGATCTAGAGAGAAAAAGTGGTATTCATTCCTGCCTGGCAAGCAGATGAGCCGCAGTAAAAAGGAAAGTAAGAGAAATTATTTGGGACGTGGAAAAAATGGGGGTGAACATTTGCAGATTTTTCTAGATGGACGTGTGTATCGGGTGATCATTCACTTGAAGAGACCAGTTTCTTTGGGAAGTAATGTTCTTGATCAGGCGGAAGGAGGAGAGGTAAGGTGGGGGGCGTGTCTAATTCTCCTCTTGCTCTTTCTTTTCTAGGATAAGTTATCCTTTCTCAGGGCCCTGGTTGAAAACATTACTGGGTCAGGAAGAATCAAAGAAGGAATAGGGTATTCTCCATTTCAGAAGGGGAAGCATTGGAATTGTGATGTGCAAAACTGAATTCTGGGTCTTAATTTCTGTTTCCTGCCAGTAAGTGTTGAGGTGAGAGATAGTGGTTCTTGACTCAGTATTTTTGTAGTTTTATTGTGCCATGTAATAGAATTTCCTTTTTCTTAGGAAACTCTCACAGAAGTATTTAAGAGTGTAGGGGCATGATGTGTCCAACTTAATTTAGTTAGAAATGAGGGAAATGGGACAAAACATAAACAATTGGTGAATACAGGAAAAGGGTATGTAGGAGTTCCTTATATTATACTTGCAACTTTTCTATAAATTCGAAATCTTGTTAAAATAAAAATGTCAAAAAAGTGTGGGGGAAAGGGAATCAGTAACGGCATTGCCTCTGTCAGAGCTGAGAGAAACCTAGGCTAGGAGAAAGCAGAGATGTTGGAGATAACTGAGGATTAACTAAAGAATTTATGAATGTGCTTCAGATAGCTTGTAAAGTCAAGGGTTATGCAAGATATCAAGGTCACTATAAACTCAGGGAAAGACTGAAACAAGAGGTTACTGGATTTGAAACATAAGGTAGAGTAGGATTTGGGGCTACTCAAGAATTCCTTATTCTGACTTCCACTGAAATGCTCTGGAGGTTTAAGGACATTTAACTGGATAGAATCAGACACCATAGTTGAGATGACTGCTTGCATCTGATCCTGGTGTGTGTGTGTGTGTGTGTGTGTGTGTGTGTGTGTGTTTATATTAAATCAGAGTGCATAATTCTAGGCTGACGAAATGGCCTTCTACCATAAGGTGTAAGGAGGAAGGAAAAGTACATTAAAGCCTTTACACCATTCTATAACTTCCATGTAGGAAAGAGAGGAATAAGCGTAGATCAAATGGAAACATTACAACGTAATTTGCTACAGTCTCAGAAGAATCTTAAAGGATTCTCAGGGGAAAGGGACTTGGATCAGTCAATAGGAGTTGGCATGGGGCAAAGTTAGGGAACTCTAGATGCCAGGAATACGCCAAACCCATTGGAAAGTCTCCCAGAAGGGATCTAACTACTAATACTCAGGCTAAGAAAATCTATCTTGCTAAAATGGAATTTATTAACAAACGTGTGTCCTTGGGAAATACTGGATTTATTTACATAAGTGCCCTCTCTTGGAAACACTGTGGAGGCTAATCCTCTGTCTTCTAAAGTCCAGGATAGGGATAGAGAAGCCATCTGAGAAGATGGTTTCAGGATCACAAAGCACCAACCACTTGGAAAAATAAAGAAGTCCCCTTTTTAGTAAGATCCCTTGACACCTGTCTGGAATCTGACTATAGTGGTTCCCTTGAGACACTCAGGAAGTTTTGAGGAAAAGAGACCCAGGAGAGCAGGGCTAGTCAACATGGCTTTTCCTTGGAGATTCCTCTCATGATGTCTGAGTTTATAGGTTTTCCTTCTCCTCCTTCTACGGACATAGCTTTCAGGGCCAGCGTGCACATCATGTGTCTCTCTTTCTCTAGGCTACAGTCCTATCTAGAGAGAGTAAGTGATTATAAGATTATAAATCCCTGAAGAAGCATGAGGGTTTGTTTATTTAATTTATTTTTCATTCTTTCTTTCTTTATTTTTGGCTCTTTAGGTCTTCGTTGCTGTGTGTGGGTTTTCTCCAGCTGCTGCGAGTGGGGGCTACTGTTCATTGTGGTGCGCGGACTTCTCATTGCAGTGGCTTCTCTTGTTGTGGAGCACAGGCTCTAGGCATGCGGGCTTCAGTAGCTGTGGCACGTGGACTCAGTAGTTGTGGCTCGTGGGATCTAGAGCACAGGCTCAGTAGTTGTGGCACACAGGATTAGTTACTCTGCGGCATGTGGGATCTTCCCGGACCAGGGCTCGAACCCATGTTCCCTGCATTGGCAGGCAGATTCTTAACCACTGTGCAACCAGGGAATTTCCTGTTTTTTTAAAATATTTATTTATTTGGCTGTACCAGGTCTTAGTTGCAGCACATGGGATCTTCATTGTGGCTTGTGGGATCTTTAGTTGTGGCATGTGGGATCTAGTTCCCTGACAAAGGATCAAACCTTGGCCCCCTACATTGAGAGAGTGGAGCCTTAGCCACTGGACACCAGGGAAGTCCCAGTTTTTTTGTTTTTGTAGATGCTTTCAGATTAGTTTTGCAAGGAGCTGGGGATACCTGTATGTCTTTATAA